AACGGTACAAGGTTGATTCTGAAGAAGATCGTTAATGATGATATGTTGGAAGTGACAATAATGCACACGGGTAAGACAACATTGATCTCCAAGATTGATCTGACAAGCGAAGGTGAGACAACTGGGTTCAAATGATTTAGGAGACAATTTTCAGTCCGTCTTGCGTTTGCTGTAACAATTAACAAGTTACAAGGACAAACAGTATCGCGTGTCAGGGTTTGGCTACGTAAACCGTTTTTTGTGCATGGCCAACTGTACGTTGCTTTGTCACGTGTTGGTCATCCCAACAACATCCGTGGTGTTGCCTGATAAGAATTTTTTGACGAAGAATATTGTATATCATGAACTTTTGGGATAAGTTTTTTTTTTTTTTTTTTTTCGTTGAGACTTGGCATTTCGAATAATTATGTCATATTCTTTCTTTGCAGGCGAGTCCCGAATGTCGCATAAGTACGACACTCGTGCTAAGAGAAAGTAATGGCAACCAACAATACCACTCAGTATGATACAAAAGCTGGAGCCGAACATTCGGAGAGGTCGAAAAAAAAATGGATATGATGAGAGGTCGAAAAAAAGTGGAAATGATGAGAGGTCGGTCAATCTTGGAAGTGAACATGCTCAGGGGCGATCATGCTCCTTTTGGTGAAGTTGAACATCGATGTTCAGGAGGGAATACCGTTGAGGATGCTGAGAATATGTTTGTGCAGGAGGGTGGTGACAGTTGTCGTGCTGATTGCGGTGGTTCGGGCAAAGGTTTCTTGGGTAGACCTAATAACCCTATATTTCTCGGTGACGAAGAGGATGATGTTACTGGTGATTTGAAAGACGATTGTGTTGACTCTGCGTCCAAAAGAAAAAAAAGTCGTGATGGAAAAACTAATATTTTAGTTGAGGGAATGATCGAGCCTACATTAGTTAATAACAAGGTGTGATGACAACCTGTTGTTGCTGAAATCGGAACTCAGGTTATGAGAGCGTTGAATGCGCTCCCTGCCAGTGCGATTGGATCTCTTCCGTTATGTCGACGGGTCGGTGGACTTGCACATGCTCGTGATTCGTGTTCGTAATCTCAACGGAGTGGACACGAAAAAGATGTTTGCGCCACATCGCAACCTCAAGATCGTTTGGGGGTTATTGTTGTGCCCAATGATAACGATGCACCCACAATCTGCACTACGAATCTGCGTGCTTACCTTGCTAGATGGTTTGACGATGTGAAGAAGGTTGACATGCAAAATGTCTTGACTGAGGTGTTTTTTGAAATGTTTGTCAAAAGTGCTACAGTCGTCAAAAATAAACGAATATGGGAAAACTTCATCGAGTGGAAAAGAAACAAACTCACTGATATGCGGTAAGAACGACGATCCCCTCTTCCTTTAGACCCGTTGAATGTTTCGGATTTGGAGGCTTATTCCATGTTGCAATCACTTTTGAACGTTGAGTTCATTGCCCTGTCTAATGAGGAGATTACTAGGATGATATTTGATTTGCCACATTGTCCGACAGAAGGGACTATTCCCCAAACCTTTCACAGATATGCACGGATATAGCAACTTCTCAAAATGACTTCTCCCAAGGTTGTTTTTTTCACTCCTCATTCCGCTCCGGTCCCTAGACCCCCCCTTTAAGCAGAATCTCCTCAAAACTTTAAACGTCTTGCGGATTATGCTCTACCATCCAATATGTCAACGTCCATTTTCACTACTTTTGTTGTTGTTTCTGCTTCACCGGCCGCCATGGCTACTCTGTCTCCTGTCAGTTGTGTTGTGGCCGCTCTTACGCCAACAAGAGACCATCTGCATGTCCATATAGGAGCCTTGGAACAACCAAGTTCTTCTAATTTTAACATTACCATGTATGACTCTCTTGAATCTATTGGTCTAAAAAAGACACTTGCACACTTGTCCTATCTTGACAGTTCTCACAGGGTGCAAGATATTGTGGAAGCAACAGCGGAATTGAATATGAGCATGAATACTTGGAGATGTGTGGATGTTGCAATTCATCTCGATTACAATCGGCAAAGACAGGGTCGATTCGGAACTTTTGAGGAGTATCGTCGCAAAGTGTTGCAACGAGTTTCTGTTCGCGAGGTGCTGCAAGAGTATCGTTTCAGTGAAGGAAGTTGATTGGTCTTATAAGAGAGATAGGAAGACAGAGATGTTGATTGGGCGGTCGTCCAGACGTTGCCTTAATGACAATTTTTTTGATGGTCACCTTCGGTTTCGGTTAAGTCATTTCCCTTAGAAGAGAGATAGGAAGAGAGAGACAAATAAATGGGGGGGGCGGGGGGCGGGGGGCGGGGGACATACACACACACACACACACACACACACACACAGAGAGAGAGAGAGAGAGAGAGAGAGAGAGAGAG